CGTGCGTAACCTAAAACATGAACGAATCGACCCCTCGATGCTCGTGCAGGACGCAATGGCTGAAAGCTAGCCACTGTTATGCTACATTCACACCTAAAGCAGCAAGAGCAGCAAAAACGTGCTTGCTGCTTCAATTTTGATGCTTGTACAAGTTTAGTTTTGACATACGGCTGAAGCATCTTTGCTAGGGTGACCAGATTTGGACACTTTTTTTCTGGGGAGGGGTTGAGTGTTGTCTGCAAGACCTCAGCAGAGAGCAATGAGCCGCTCGTCCTGAGCTGGAAGAGGGGGGGCTGGGGGCCGGTAAGGCAGGTGGGGGGAAGCATGGGGACGCAAGTGTCTCCCTGTTTCGACTACGAGCTTGCACTGTAGTCGACCAAAATTCTGGACAATTTTGATATTCTCCCCAGACATTTTTTTAGGTCCGAAAAGTAGGACATGTCTGGGCAAAAGAGGACGTCTGATCACCCTATCTGTGCTGCTCTGGCTGCGTGGTGGAAACAGTGGGTCTGATGTACGTTGGGCAGAGCTACCCTATCCTTTATTTGCCTGGAACAATGGCAGCTACATTTGCTTTGATCAGTGGGTAAAAAGTAGTTTGAATCTATTTTGAAGTGAGAAAGTCCACCTAAAAGCATTGTCAGTGCAGTCAATTCATCTAGATTACATTACTTACTTGGTAAAATCCCAGGGTATTTAAATGAATCTTTAAATTTTTCTAAATATATGTAGAAATATATGTCAAACAAAAGTCACACAAAGTTCAATACCCTAAACATTCATATTAATGTCTGGCCAGACTCTTCATTAAGTGTTGGACAGGATGTACAGTCTCAGAATGCCCTAATAATAAAAGCTACTGTTTGTTTCTAACAATGCACAAGTTAGTGTAGTGCCTGTTTTCACTGTGGGTGTTTTCTTTTTGCCCTGTCCTGTCAGGCAGCTTTCATTTCTCCATGAGCCAAATGGCTTCCTCTCCCTTAAGAGGAATTTAAAGCATGAAGGATCTGATTCTTCAATGTGTCACAAGGATATTTGGTAGATTTTGTGTAACCTGTCCTGCTGTTTTTGTCAATCAGTCAACTTCCACTGTAGCGCTAGCTCAGTTAGTAAGCAAGCAGGAAACAGAAGATGGGAACGTGGTTGAGAGTTACAAGCATATCTGAAAACCAGTGCACTTTTTAGTAGAGGTATTTCTGAATTCAAAGTATTTACCATATCAGAAATGACGCCTGAAGAGTGACAGTTGCATCATAGTTGTGAGGTTAGAAAGCACGTCAGTCGCAACAAGAGAATTCACAGGAACTACTGACTTCCTTTTTTGCACTTTCCTTGCATAACATACAGCAGAAGAAACACTGATTCTCCAAATATGAACAGTATGGTTTTGAGTCACAGGTTTGGCAAACATCTGACTTTAAAAAAAAAAGCCTTGTGAAAGGAGTTCACTCACATGTTCGATGGGGTGGAGCTTATGGTTTAAAGTAAAATCCACCCACGCAGCAAACAGCAATGTATAATTATAAATCCCTGAGCCATGTAACTGAGTCATCTCTGACTCTTACTGTGAATCAGAAAATTTAGGATAAGGAAACAGAAGATTTAATCATATCTCATCAAAGATGTCTATAAAAGGGTTTATGAAAGAAATCCATCTGGTAGTAGTAAATATAAGACTGCCCTCTGCATTTGTTCTGCATTTTCTGCATTCTAAATGCTGCAGAGCCTTCCATTTGACCTTACAAGCAAAAAAACCAAAAACAAACATGGCATGGTTTAGTTCAGTGCAACCGTAGAATGGCAGGTAACACGGAGGCTTATATCAAACAGAAGGAGCCCTTGTGGAAGTGCTGTGATGGTGCTGCAGAACAGAGGAAGATTTGTTCTCCCCAGTCATGCATCTGCTTCCTGCAGGAGTCTTGGCCATGGCAGAAAGTGAAGATAGCAATCAGAAGTGTTACATTTTGCACCATTTTTTTAGCCCTGAAGCTAAATGCCATGCAGTGCATGTCCATTGCTTTTAGCTGATTAGAGACCGTCAGGGATTTCTGTAATCCAGATTTAATAATTTCAACGCCACAGGCTGTTTTCAGTCTGACAAACAGGCGTTTATGATTTTATCTAAAAATAATTCACCCAAAATAAATGGTTTAGTTTCTGTTGCTCATATCTTTTATCTACTTATCGTTATTTTTAGTATCAAACTCTTGCCTGTTTCTCTTATTTTTTTTACAGCTAAATCCTCAGCAGCAAAAATATTCCGAGGTACCTCATGACACACTGTGCTCGGTTAATGTGCTAATTTAGTATTTATCTATAATTAAGCTTGGAATTGTTACATAACCTCACAGTATGAGATCCAAATTGCTGCCTTTCAAGCTTCACCCCATGCAGCTTGACCATGGCAGTGAATTTTTTACACTGTTGCCTAAACATTATGAATAGCAGACTAGTTTAGTTGTAGCCATTTTTTTTCGTTTCCATTGAAAGTAATAGCACCTGTAATTCCATATTTTCTGCAAGCTTTTAATGAAATTGAAGTGTATGACAACAATTCCTGGTTTGAATTTACAACAACATTCAGCTTAGCTCAGTTGTAGAGCCAAATATTTCCCTCTTGACTTTGAAGAACCAGTTTTTCAGAATAAATAATGAAGTAACTAATTCATCAAGAGCAAAGAAACCTGACTCTATATTTCTCACTGTCAGGCAAAGATTTTTTTTAAGTTTGTATGAGGTTAACGGATTAATGAATTTGTAAGTTTGCTTACAGGTTTGTAATTTGACATGATTAAATCTAAGTCCTGNGAGGTACCTCATGACACACTGTGCTCGGTTAATGTGCTAATTTAGTATTTATCTATAATTAAGCTTGGAATTGTTACATAACCTCACAGTATGAGATCCAAATTGCTGCCTTTCAAGCTTCACCCCATGCAGCTTGACCATGGCAGTGAATTTTTTACACTGTTGCCTAAACATTATGAATAGCAGACTAGTTTAGTTGTAGCCATTTTTTTTCGTTTCCATTGAAAGTAATAGCACCTGTAATTCCATATTTTCTGCAAGCTTTTAATGAAATTGAAGTGTATGACAACAATTCCTGGTTTGAATTTACAACAACATTCAGCTTAGCTCAGTTGTAGAGCCAAATATTTCCCTCTTGACTTTGAAGAACCAGTTTTTCAGAATAAATAATGAAGTAACTAATTCATCAAGAGCAAAGAAACCTGACTCTATATTTCTCACTGTCAGGCAAAGATTTTTTTTAAGTTTGTATGAGGTTAACGGATTAATGAATTTGTAAGTTTGCTTACAGGTTTGTAATTTGACATGATTAAATCTAAGTCCTGGGTTGTTGTTTTTTTAAGATTTTTATGTTCAAAAAGGAGTAAATAATCAATTAATGGAGTTTGTCTGCACTTTTATCCCTCACTATAGTGCGACAGAACATTATTTTTGACAGTTTATATTACAAATTTAACAAGAATATTTATATATTTTTTAACAAGGAATTTGTCTAAAAGCTCTTTTGGTAGTACAACATGATACTTGTAGTTATTGTATAGAAAGACATTGCAACATGATTGAAACAGGTCAGGTCAGGGTAAGGCAAGTTTATCCATGCAACACCAGTCTTACCCCAGGCAAACCTTACTCCTTGGCACAAATCAATGTGAAAACATAAAGAATAAGATAAAGTTGAGCTTTAACTTCTCAAATCTTCTTATTTTTATAGACTGCTTTTGATTGTATGATGGTTACATTCTTTGTCAGCATTGTCCACAACCTTTCCTCTGCACCAGCTATTTCAGTAAATTCTACTGCAGTATGTTCCAGGACAAATGATGCTCTTTAAGTTTGGAACAGAGCTGTACTCTAAAGCCATTATCATCCATCGTCATCATCTCATCATAAAACACTTAATCCTCTTTTGTAACTTTCCTTTGGGACAAGACTTCATCCTGTCCTACTTTTTTCTCTATCTCTTAATTTTACCTCCATCTTCTAGCCGAAATATTTTTCATGTGGTCAAAGGGCCCTGAATGATTGCTTTTTGTCAGAAAAGTCATGGCTTCATTTTTAACTCATTGTGTCCTTCTTCTTCAGGGCTATCAACGCGGGGAAGAGCATGCTGAATGAGGACCAGGCCTCTTGTGAGAAGCTATTTGTGAGAAAGCCGAGCGGCAAAAACAGAAACTCCACTGTGGTAGACGACAACGGGGTGAGCAAAAACAAGGAACGAGGAATAAATGGTCCGGTCAAAGGCTGGCAGGGAATTACTTTTTGATAATGTATTTTATACCTGACCTTCACTTAAACAAATAGTGCTCTAGTGATAAAGACCATGAGATGCTTTTTCTGAAAGTGTCTTACAATATCTATCCATACACTTGAAAAAGGTATGATGTAGGGTCATGATAGGAAAGGACAAACTCATTCTTTGCTAAGAAGCTTTTTTTAAGAAAACAAAACAATGACACATGCTTTTAAACTTCCTATATGTAGATAGCAGAAGTAAGATTTAAGGTAGAAATTATATAAATATTGATAGGGTGTCCGGCTCCTATGCTTTAAAT